AAAAAAAAAAACCAGAAGCACAGAGGTTAAGTAATTTGCCCACATCACACAGCTAATAAATAGTAAATCTGGGACCTGAAGCAGAGAACCTGGCTCCAAAGCCTGCTCTTTTACCACTAAGGAACGCTTGTGCCTGGCACAGAGAAGGTGCTCACTAAATGTTGATTCAAATCATCTTACTGAAGGATTGAAAAATGCATTTAGTTTATTATTCTGGACTTAACAGATTAACTACTCTTAAAAGCAAATAGAAAAATGCATACACGTACACCAGAATGAAATAAAATCCGAAATTATAAGAACATGATTTACTAGATTTTCTGACTAAACAAAGAAAATTACTTTATGCTTTCAGTGTCATCTTAGCCTATGAAGAAACTACATTTCCAGGAAATTCTTTGACCAAGGGGCAGAGCTGACAAGTGAATTAGTCTGTGTTAGAACCCAGGGCTCCCCCAGTTCCTCTGCCCCTTTTCCCCAGGATCACATCACTGCCTGGTTTCAGGGGAAGAGATTATCCCCCCCCCTCAGCGTGCTCCCAGAGTTTGGCAACTCGCGCTGAAAATCTCAAGGACTGTACTTCGTTGTTCTTCCTCTTGTCTAGTGGACAGTCAAAGGAAAACTCTGATTGGATATTCTATACAACTATTTTTAATCATACCAAAAATCAACCAACACTAACCATTAGAAAAACAAGACAACAGAACAAAACATGAACCAGGTTCTCTGCTTCAGAACAAAACACCCTGACTTCAGGCACAAAGTGTCAATGCTCATTCAGCTGTGAGCCAGGCAGTTAAACGGCAAAAATAAAACACCATTAAATTAATTGAAAATCAGAAAATCCTCTGGTGTGTCCTCCGGTTTCACTTACCTTGGTGTGGAGAACGATAGGCAGAGGCAGTAAAACCAACAGAGCGAAAACCACGAGGAGAAGCCGGCGATAAACCAAAATATAACTGAGAAGTTTCATTGTCCCGAAGAAGGCGTCTTTGATAGTGTCCTCCTCAACATTAGGTAGATGTTAAATAACCAACCTGGATTAATATTTTTCCAGCCCATCATTTTCATTCACTGCCCTAGACTAACATCAGTTAAAATTAAATCTAATTTTTTTATTGTTTTACTGTCACAATTAACATGGAGAGATAAGCCCAAGGCTGTTTGGGAGAAATCAAAACCATTTGCTCACGTGGTTTTTGAAAGGTAAACGTTTCTTTCCTGGACACATCCAGGAAAAGGCAGAATTGTGAAGTATTTCTGTGCCACCTTTGCCCACAGTGAGGGCCCTTTGCCCCTTGTGCTGTCCTCTTAACAGGAGCACTTGCCACTCTGTAATGGGGCCTTGAACACATCTCCACTGGCTGCCTCCACTGCCCTTTCTAAGGAAGTACATTGCAGTGTGTAAATTAAAATAGCAACTTCCATAGGAGGGATTTCAGTGCATGGCAGTGTGAAAGGGAAAGGTTTTCTGATACAGTTGGATTGGGGGGGAGCTTCTCATAATATATTGAGGCAGGCCCCTGCAAAAGTATGAAAAATTATTTCTGTTGTGTGAAAGCAAAGTTCTATGTATTATTTCTTGGACCCCTTTTCTGTATATTTCTTGGACTGGCTTTTGCAGTGGTAAATAAAAAGTAATCATATAGTCTTATATAAGTTCTCCACTTTATGACCTTTGCAGGCTGTAGTTGGTACTACTGTGCTGATAGTGAATACATAATTATCAGGGAATCTGCAGATGGACGCATCATTGGCATCATCCAAGGGGTGTGTGTATGTGCATGTGAGCACATGAGCATGTATGAAGATGGGGATTGTCTTTGGATACTATTAAAACAAAGGTGATTTTTTTCCCTCCAACTAGCATCCAGTAGTCATTTACCTTGGTGCATTTTATTTTATTTTATTTTATTTTACAGGATCTAAAAGTACAGGTTTGGGCAGCACCTGTGGCTCAGTGGGTAGTGTGCCAGTCCCATATACTGAGGGTGGTGGGTTCAAACCTGGCCCTGGCCAAACTTCAACAAAAAATAGCCAGGCATTGTGGTGGGCACCTGCATTCCTGGCTACTCGGGAGGCTGAGGCAAGAGAATCACCTAAGCCCAGGAGTTGGAGGTTGCTGTGAGCTGTGATGCCACAGCACTCTACCAAGGGTGATGAAGTGAGACTCTGTCTCTAAAAAAAAAAAAAGAAATAAAAGTATAGGTTTATTTTACCTTAGAAAGAGAGAAAGGGTGGGAAAGAGAAAAGTATGGGAGATGGCCTGGCATCCCAAAGAAAGAAGGGAAAAGAACATTGGTGCTTTTTAACATTTTCAATTTCTTCTGCTCACCTCTCTGTTTCTTCAGGTGATGAATCTTCTTGATTCACATAAATAATGTATGTAGTGAAATTTCTGGGTTCACATCAATTTAACTATATCAGGTTTATTTTCATTTCCTAAAATACAGGGTACAATATTTAACTAGGGTAGAATAATCTCCAAAAGAGACTATTCATTCTCAAGTCCCTAAACACTTAAATTGGCATTGTTTATTATTAACCACAACATTAATAATTATTCTTCCAGTATCATGAAATAAATAACCAACTGAATAGATGGAGATTGAACTGTGACCCACAAGGTGAGAACCTGAATTCTCATAAACTTAGAAGCAAAGCAAATTCCAAAAGAGGAAATCTCCTCTAGCAAAATCAGAGGAGCAAAAATAGCATCTCAGCATTGAGGCCAAGACACAGTGGTCATGCCCTCCACCAAGGCCAGAGGAATGCTATTCTCCTGACCACACCTCACCATATTTTTATTTTGGGTTCTCTGAGAGATGAAAGGGGAAAATTCAAGAATGGGAAGAGGAAAGCGGGGAATGTAGGAAAGAAGGTAGGAAAAGAGAAAACATTCCAGAACACTTAACATTTTGTTAGAAAAGAGAAGTTGAGTAAAGCTACTCTCAAGTGTCTAGAATGCTGTGTGCTGCTGCCCCTTCTGTTTGTCCCTTACTCCCCTGCCTGACTGTCCTGTGTAATGGTCACTTTTCCAGCAGTCTTGACACAAGCATCAGTACTTTATCCTGTGAGAACTTGGAGGGTATTCAGAGGTCAATGCTGGACTCCTGGATCTGGTACTTATTAAGTTAGCACCTGGGTGGTTGGTGACTGCTGTGACTCTAGGAATCTTAGAAATGGAAATCCGCATACATGGATCACGTACCACCACCCTGTGAGCCCAGCACAGCCAAGTGTTCCCTGTGCTTGTCAAGTCAGAAGGTTTCCATATAATTCAAAGTAGTTAATCAGAAATTGCTTTGTATATAACTCAAGATACTAAAGAAGCTAGTGAGGTAAACATTTCCCCCAATATCTCAGGTGTGCTACAGATTTGCTATTGCTAGCAGTCAAATGTGTCCATTTTTCTCTCTCAGGAAGAAAAGAAAAAGATCTGATTCTACTTCCACCATCTTCACTACCAAAAATATTATACCTTTGGAATATCTCCTATTCCTAATAACACTGAAAAAGATAAAGTGTTAACATAGTTCCTAACAGTGAATTTGTTTTGAGGATAGTAAGCGGCATTGACACAACCCAGCTTCCTGTCAAGCTGACCCATCATCTTTGGAAATTATTTTTTTACCTAAATGTAGAATATCTGACAATATGTTATTTACATGAGTATGGGAAGTTAGCCAGGCTGCCCTCTCACAGTAATTTTCTGTTGGCATAGCTACAGCATTCACTGCTCCTCACCACTTAGCTTCTTTTATTATTTGGAGTTGGTGGCTTTTGGTTCAAAACTGTTGCTTCTAAAGAAACTTCAGTGTTTAAAAGAAACATGTGCCTTACTATATGTGATTTGTGAAGAAACACCATTTATTCTGACAAGTCCTTTATTCTTATATTTTTTGATTCATTTTCTTTATCATAGATACACAGAGATATATTTTGAGACCAATATGGTCTTCTCACCATATATCATTGTGTAGATAAACCACATTAATGTACAGACCATAGGGGGTGGGGTGGAGCAAGATGGTAGCCAAGTAACAGTTTCTTTGCAACAAGGAACAGTGAGATTGGGGAGAAAAGACTCCAGGCATATCTGGTTTGTGGGCTGTACCCAGAAACATCTCTTTGGGGATGCAGGGAAATGGCAGGACACTTCTGGAAATCAGGAGGAGGACAAAAGAAGTGGAGAAGTGGCAAGTGGCTGTGATCAGGCTGCCACTGCTCTAACTACAACAGTAGTGAGATTGCAGACAGAGAAAACCTTCCTTGTGGGTTGTTTTGTTTGGAGTTGGGCACTCTGTTAAATTACCTTGGGAGAACTTGGGTGAGAGTGTGGGTGACTTTAAGAATTATCCAGGGCACAGGACTGAGCCCTTGGGCCAAAATGGAGCTAACATTGTTCGGCTGTGGGCCATGTGTGCAGGAATTGTGGGAGAACTGCCCCTGTAGGCTCCACCTCAGGGTTGCAGAGCAAGGCTTGGTCTGGGAGACTTTGGGTGAGTGACCTAGTGACTGTGAGCAGCACCAAAGGCCAGGACTGAGATGCCGGGGAAGAGTGAAGCTTCCAGTGTTTGGCAGTGGGAGGGATGCGTTGCAGCCTAGGCCCTGAGGAGCATAAAGTGAGGCTAGTTTGGGTGCACTGGATACGCTGGCAGCCACTTCAGGAGAAATCCCAGGAACAAGTTCTTTTCTGGGAAAGTTTCTGCTTAGCTAAGGTTAATGGTTTAAAGTGTCTTTTAAGTAGACTAAGGAGAGATTCAGGCTCTCAGTCCTACAGGGTTTGAGGGCAAAGAAGTAAGCTGAAGCCTCCAATCTCCCTCTCATACAGCTGTATTAGCATTGTGATTGGCATCTCATACCCCAGAAGATAACCTGTTGCCCAGACAATATTCAGCAAGATACATATACTCCTTTGTTTCTTTTTTTACTACTTCAACATTTTTCCCATTGGATTGCTCCTTTTTTTTTCTTCTCTTTCTTCATTTTTCTAGATTAAATATAATTTTCCATTGCTCCCTTCTTTAATAATAAGAACTTCATTTTTGCTAGTGTTTCCACCCCTGTTATTTGGTTGCTTCCCCAATTTTATCCTGTAAAGTTTTCTATTTGTTTGTTTTGGTTTGATTTATAGTATTTTTGTCTTTCCTCTTTATTTGGTGGAGGTGGGGTACCATATCTTCTCTGACTGGCAAAGAGCTGCTGACATCAAGGGAACTGCCCAACCCAGCACCCCCAGAGGTTGGGAGTTACTAAGGTGTGGTTCCAAATACCCTTCTCTATCCTTTATTACTCCTGTCTACTCCTTTCTATGCCTCTCTTATTTTTGTCAGTCTTCCCTTTTACTCACCCGTTCTCCTTTCTCTTTTTTCATTTTTTAAATCTTTTTTCCCTTCTTGCTCTTCATTCTTCACATTATTTTAGTCCTGTACCAAAAGGACTCATCAAAACTTTAGGCCAGAGGTTGCTTCAAGAGCAAGAGGAAGTGAAAGGAAAATTAGGGCAAGGAAACAGATAAAAGAAAACACTCATGAGGAAGAATCAGCAGAAAAATCCTGGCAACATAATGAACCAGTCCAGAGCAACTTTCCCCCACCCCCAAGGGACCATGAGGTAGCTACTGCAGAGGATTCCACCTATAAAGAGATGTTAGAAATGACAGAAGGGGGATCTAAAATACAAATGATGAAAGCAATGAAGAAAATTGCTGAGAAAGTGGAAAATAACAAAAAGGAAATCCAAAAACAGAATCAAATAAGAGATGAATGATATGAAGAATATAGAAAGCATATAGCAGAGCTGAAGGAATTGAAGCAGTCAATTAAAGAACTTAAAGATGCAATAGAAAGTATCAATAGTTCAGACTGTGCAGAAGAAAGAATCTCAGAGGTAGAGGACAAAGTTCTTGAGATAACTCAGATAGTTGAAGAGTCAGAAAAAAAGAGAGAGAGAAAGCAGAACATTCACTGA